ATCCAATTCCTTTTTTTATCTCATTATTTTGGAAGAGTATCTAAATTACATCCCAGTTGTGAAGCAGACACATTTATTTGTTTTTTATTTTGTTTTTCATTGTAAACTGTTAGTTCCCCCCCGTTGGGATGCAGACTGTGCATGGACGGAGGTGTGAGTGGATTGTACACAGAGCATGAAAGAAAAAAGCCTGAAACTGGACACTGCAATCTCCCTCTGCACAGATCACCGATGGGATCCTTCAAATGTCACTCCTGCTTCTCATTATTCCTCACACATGCGATCATTACTCATCGAAGGAAAGGTTAAAACACCCCATGAGTATGACCGGTGACATCGTTCATCACTCATCTCTGCCGGTGTGTTTACGTGTGTGTTCACGTATAACTGCCCAATCTACTACATGTGACATGTTCTGGGCTGTTGCTAAGAGACAAACATGCCGAAGGACAGGACAAGTGGGAGGAGGAGACTGCATGTTTACACACACACACACACACACACTCTGTGCACATGCAAAGCAGTCTTTGAAAGTTTGAGAGACACTTATTGAGAAAGAACTATTGTGTACTTTAAATGGCTTTTTACAACAATAAGTTCCAACCAAGTTATCTGATTGGACAAGAGGCATTCAGTGATGATACAACATCACTTGGACTTTTCACTCTGTGAATCCCTCGACCAAGTTGACTGAATACTGTTCTTAACATTATAGTAGACAGTGTTTGTCCGGATTGATTAATCTGAATCACACAATGCATGCTAAATTAAAACAAAAATAAATGCACATTAAACATCGTAACTGGTCTCTGTGGTCACCATAGGAACAGTAAACAGAGTGCAGCAGGATCGCTGGGTTGCTTGTTGGAAACTAGTCTAGTTTCAGTACTTTTTACTAATATTTGTAGCTTGAATAACTTGTTGTATAAAACCAATATCACACCTGAGATGTGATGTCCTGAATATCAGCAGAGCTGGGAATATCTCAGACGAAATCACAGCAGAGCTGATCTTCAGTTATACGTCACTCCCTCAAATATGATATTGCATTATTATAATTGGAATAACTTTTTGTATTCAAATTTGTTTTTGTTTTTTTCAGCAAATTCATTAAATCATGAAGCCTCCAGCTTCTCAAATGCAATTATTAACGTCTTTTCTCTGTTCTAACACTTGATTAGACTTGTTTTGTCTCTATTTTTGGGGAAGGAAGCGTCCATTATCAGAAGTTAATTATCATTATCAGTAATAATGTCTTTGTGGATTTGTTTAATTGTGTTGTCCTTGTGACTGCATTCTGACGTAAAGCGTCCTTGGGTCCCTCGAAAGGCGGCATTTAAATCCAAGCTATTTATATTATTATCATTAATTTTCATGGCTTATTTGGAGATGCATCTCAGCCAACAGAATCCAGGGAAATAGCAAGTTATAATTGGTGTTATAAAGCCAACATTTGGCCAACTGCACTGAATTTAACACCAAACTCCCTCTGGCACTCAGAACACACATGCAGAGTGTGAGATTTATGAGAAGAACTGAAAGGACAGTGTTTTATTTCTTTATTGTTGAATATTTCTGTTGGCCTGAAGAGGGACATACAGTAACAACCAACCTTTAATGTTGTTTCATCTGAACCCGTTTACAGACAGAGCACATTATAAACAGTTTGAGCCTCTACCTAACAGAAGTAGTCTCGCCATTTGCACCATGGCAAGGCAAAAATAACACAAAGCAATTTGTTTCTCAAACAGGCTCACACCAGATGTGACTCGAGGTTTACAGTTCTGATGGAAACAGATGGACACTAAACAGACCACACACACACACGCACACACACGTACAAACACACAGGCACATTTGCATAGCCATGAGGCCAGGTTCCCTTATTGCTCCATGCAGCACTTTGTCAGGAAAACACAGAAAAGATGCCGACTAATAAACATTTAGCTGTAAGTAACTCATCCAAGTCATCAACACAGACAGTCAAATACAAAAACATCAGACGTCTCTCACATATTTTATGCATCTGAGCATCTGTCTGCTTTTTGTATTTCTAACATTGTGTGTGTGCATGCTCTAGGTGTGTTTGTGTGCATCCTTAAATGGGTGTTTTCCTGTGGTTTTTCCAATGTCTTTGTGTGTGTATTATGATGAGATATAATATTTGTGTGAGTGTGTGAACATTAAGAACTCACCTCATTCCTCAGTGACTGAAAGAAGCTCTTTGTCCATTGTGCTGCAGGACAATGTGTATTATACCAGACAGAATCAGATTTCTGCCCAAGCAGGTGTGTGTGTGTGTGTGTGTGTGTGTGTGTGTGTGTGTGTGTGTGTGTGTGTCCATGTTGTGTGACAGCGCAGGTAAGTATGAGAATGTCTCCAGCTGATATGTGTGCGATTACGGTTTTGTGATTAATGTGTGTGTGTGTGTCTTTGTTTGGTGTGTGTGTGCATGTGTGTGTGTTGATGTGTGTGTGTGTGTGTGTGTATGTATTCAGCCAGCGGCACAGACTGTCTCTCTCCTGTCCTAATCCCCTCATTTACCTGAGTTTCTCCCATGAGAGCCCTGGATTGCTGCCAGCACGCGCACACACACACACACACACACACACACACACACACACACACACACACACACACACACACACACACACACACACACACACACACACACACACACACACACACACACACACACACACACACACACACACACACACACACACACACACGCCCACACACACAATATGCATATGAAAGCATCTGGTGAAGTCTGACCATATGCCCATTAAATTAAGCTACATGTCAAAAAGAAAATTGTTTGTGTGCAAGCGTGTGTTTATGTGTGTGTGTACATGTTCATGTGTCTAAGTTAACAGTATTCACTTTTACGTTTTTGCAAAGCTGTGTGTGTGGGTGGGGTGATGAATCCATAAATCTTTCAGGTCCAAACAACAACAACACAGACATAACTAATGCAAGATTTTGTGCAAATCGTGGGACTAAAAACAGAGCCAGAAGTGACTTCCCCGAATCTCGACTCGTACTTTTAATTTATGGACTTGTTTATTTTCTGGGATATTTTTAAACTTAATTTCTGAAATTGATTGCAAATGCCTGAACTTGTTCGGGTTCATCTAATCTCCTCAGACACTTTAATTTCCTATAATTGTGGTCTCATTGCTTGTTTAACTAGATTAATGAAGGACTGGATTCCCCCTGTTAGAGATTAATATCATGTAATAAGATACATACTTTATTTTGGATAGAAAATCTTTGATTATAGCGCAATAAGAAACCAAACCTTTTATTGCTCCATACAAGTCAATGCAGGAGAATTCAGCAGTACAAGCAACTTAATTACAAATATTGGCGACACCTTCACTATTCTGAAGCCTCCGTTCTCCTTGAGCGACACAACTCCAACTCGCGCTCGCACCAAGGCGTTATGAATAAGAATGATTTAGCACCATAAAGCACAAGGGGCGGACAAAATTGTCCTTTTGCTCGGTTGCTTCAGTTGCCTGTGGTTTGCATAGTTCTGTTAGCAGGCTAATGTTAGCACACTTTGGTTAACCCAGAGATTCACATTGAACATAAATTGACACAGAATGGCCGTGATCTAAACACACTTACAAGACATCCAAAAAAGCAGTGAGAACGCTATTCTTCTTTTCTCTAGTCCGTGACTGAAACAGCTTTACGAGCAAGTCTGTCCGTCCATGATGAAAACAGTACAGCCGATGGGACGCTTCTCACTCATTGTAGTCATGACTCAGAGAGACATTTGCAGAGCATATACTTGATTTCTGCTGTACTTATGTGTAAATTTTGCACATTCTTCCTTTGGCCCATATAATGGAAAAAAAAACTGTGGCGGTGCCCTTGAGCAAGACACAGAATCCCCAGCAACTCTGGTGCGCTCCCTGTGTAGCAGCCCCACTAATGCATGTCCACACGTCCTGTTTGTGTGTGTGTGTACTTCAGGCCTATGTATGAAGAAGCTTTAATAAAGGACTAATAAAGTATGTAAAATAAAATAAAAATTATTAAACAATCTGTTTTTCAGTGTAACCAATACAACTACCAACAATTTACTATTGATGGTGTCTCAGTGTACACATGTGCCACATGTTGTGATTCAGAGTGTGATAAACCTTGTTAGCACGTGAGCAGAAAGTGTAAATTGTTTGATAAAAATAATAGATGTGTGGTAAACAATCCAGCTGTGGAAGCATAATGATTCACTACTTGTGCAAATTTCCCCTTGTGGGACAATAAAAAATCTGAATCTGAAACTTGAGCAAACCTAAATTAAGCCTAAGACAAATCCTTATAGGTTCACAAATATGTGTTATTCCACTACTACTTTATACGACAATCAGTTTCATATGATAGGGGTCATGTAAACATTATATTCTGTGTGGCTATACAAATATAATTTAATGCTGAACTTTTTTAGGTTTTTTTATTCGAACCCAGCAAGCCGATAATTTCAGCCGATATTAGCATCTAGTGACTTTCAGTATTGGCTAGTTTTAACACAGATATATGCCGATATTACTACATTTATTCACCAGTCAAATAGCATTTGATTTGAGTTTCATTTTATCAATCTATCAGTTCTCGTTCTGGCTGTCACCAGCAGAGAGTGCTATATGGATTACAACAAGCATTCTTGTCAAGCGGTGACGCACGTACATGCAAAGTTACTTTCCAGTTGAGTGACCATCTTGTCTTTCTTATACTATACATCTTTTCCACAAGTGTTTTTGATAACTGCATTTGAGGGATCAACTCAAAAATGTGTATATCTATCTCTACAGATCGGACGAAGATTTAGAAAAGATATCGGCCGATAAATCTGTTTAGGATTTTATTTTCTCCCCAATATCGATATCAGAACAGACGGTTGGCGTTTATACCGGTTAAAAAATGTATTCTCTCTGTCTATTTACTCAAATCGCACCTTCCCATCATATTTTTACTTTTGTCTTCAGGTGATGAGACAGGCGATATATCCAGTGGTCGTAGTCCAGCAACAAAGGACATGGCTCCTCCCCCTGCTCGTCGGCCTGTCCCTCCTCACCGCCTCTCACCCCCGAAGGTAGGTCACTGCAGTTTCATTTCCACCCTTTCATTTCCACAGTTTAAGCTGATAACTTTTTGTAATCAACACATAGGTCACACAGCAAACGTTAGACTTATCTCCTTGTATCTAGCCAACAGTACTGCTATGACTGACCTTTTCATATTCTCCAATTGTTTAGTCTAATAGTGAAAGCAGTATTGTAGCAAGGAATTGGCAGAATGCTAATATTGGCTGCAACGTATTTTGCTGATGTTGGCAATCTTGATTAGCTAACTGCTAAGAGGAATTCATGCTTTTCCTGTTTTGTTATATAAGGGATAATGTATAGAAACTGTCGCTGCAAAAACAAATTCAATTCAATGTAATACCTTAAATCTATCAAGCAGTAGTGTTAGCCCTGGAATGGTCATGCAAACATCAGCACCAACTTTTCATTAATGGTTACCTCATTATGTTTTACCTATCAATACTGCCAAATGTCCCTCTGGATTTTGACAATCAATTTTCCTTTGTATTGCAGATCAATAAAATTAATAAGATGTGAAACCTTGAACACAAAACTAAGGCATCATTCTTTTGATAACAGCCCCCTCCCACACACACACACACACACACACACACACACACACACTCACGCAAAACACTGTTTGGAATCAATACAGTGAATCTATCTTTATATTATCTCTCTATGCAGTTTAAATATGGTGAATTAGATCCATCTGAAGATTGTTCTGCCCTATCTCTTCTCATATAATTTTGTATTTTATTTCCTATTAGGTGGCTGTAAGAGACTCAGCCCACACGTTGTCCGTCACACCTTTGACCCTGGTGACCCTAGTGCTCCTTGTACTATCACCGTGGCAACATCGCTGATCCCACAGGCCGAGCTGGTCCCTGAGACAATATATATAGACAAAAAAAAAAAAGACTGAGAGACAACCACACGTCTGTGGTGAAGATGAGAGTTTTGGAGTTTTGGTAAGCTCCAATCAGCCAATCTGATTGGTTCAGCTGGTTGGACATGCTGTTGATTTATCACATATTCAGATGCTCCCTGTACTGACCTCTACATGTGTTTTATTTGTTTTTAACCCCGATAGGATAGATTGAACAAAACTACTGACTTTTTGGAAGAGAGATGTATATACAAATATATATATATTATATATTTATATGAAAATTTCTATAGATAACAGTGGCTTGATGTGTAAATAGAGATTAATATAGAGCAGGAAAATTGACTTGGACTCAAAGGGATGTTTGGCCTTTGCATAATGTTTCTCAAGCAGACATAAGATCTATGAAAGCTACAGTTCATGCTGGAGGCTCTTATTAAAGCAGCTGTTTACTTACAAACTGAAGACACACTTTTGAGGACCCATTAATGTTGAAAAGCACAGAGCATTACACGGAGACGCTGGAAAGGGACATTGAGGCACTTTCTCAGCAGGCAAAACAGCCAATTATGTGATACTTCAGACTGTTTACAGATAATCACGCAGCATAATGAAAAATGTGACGCTTTGGCCTGTAAGCAGGCACATGCTGAAGTCCAGACGGCACCTTTTCTTCACACCAACATGCTCTTTTATTCATGCAAGCTGTTTGATGCTTTTTTTAATCTCTGCAGCAAGTATGCAAAGATTTCTTTTTTGTGTGTAACTCTTCATAAATGTCACTTTAAAAGCTAAGATCTCTCCCCATGAATTGTTTCCTCTGTTATGTGTCATCTCTAGGCATTAAATACAACTTACAGTCATGATATTTGTGGTGGGGAAATGAGTTAAGACTATTTTCCTCTCAAGGTGCACAGTGTACAGAGCGATGAAAGCACAACAGGGAGATATAACGGCTTTCATTTCAACGTCAATTTCAGTGTGAGCTGCCTCAGAAATCCTTGACAGAGAGCTCACTGTATCACAAACTATATAAAGCACCTGATACAAGAAGAGTCTAAATATGGCATGCATTTAAGAGCAATACACAACCTGAAAAGTCTGACTCAACAGTGAATCATTTGCAGAAACTGTCTCATCACAGTGATTTCAAAGGCTGGCCAGTCTGCAATCATTTTAAACTTCAATCTACTGCACAAAGATAATGCATAAGACTTAATAAATATAACTACATCTTAGTAAGGTGCATGTGTTGTCAACTTGTGTCCATATAAAGACAAGGCAAAAGACATAGTATCAAAAGAGTGTTCAGTGTGCTGCTGTGCCCAGATCCAAACACGTGAACTTGATTTAATTTATATTAATTAGGACTGTCACGTTGTTCTGGCTCTCAAACCCCCCAAAATGCAGAACAACAGCAGGACCGACAACTGGAATACTTAATTAAATACATGGAAATGAAGCAAATGAACCAGCTGAAGGACGCTGAGCACATTTATGTTGACCAGCAATTTGTCTTAGGATATCATTTTGTCCCATATAATCATTTTTTATATAAAAAATCTTGTATTCATGTGTTGTTTTTCATCCCCTGAGGCCGTTTATTTATAAAGGAATGTGACTGACAGATAAGACAACTTAAGAAATACCATTAGGAGATTAAACACTTTTGACAGGGAGCCCAAATGGCATGCAAACTCGTGAGACGCTTCTACAACTTAATCCGTCAAACAAACACGCTATTATTTAATTTCTATTTTGACGTTATGCCCCCAATGAGATTAGATGCTGGATTCAAGCCAACCCTTCAATCTTTCACAGCTCTTTGCCGGGCAACCTGCTAAAAAACAAACAACCAACGAATACAAATAAAAGAAGATAGCACTTGGACCGCTCAGTCCTCTGTAAGATGAAAATCTACAGGCACAACCCCTTAAAGATGGAGAATATATAAACAATTATAAGGATGATTAAAATAGGGTTGGTCTTGCTGAAGCATCAAAATATCAGCTGTTCATTTGTTACACACGTCTACAATGGAAGTATTTCACTTTTTTTTTAACGTATGTCAATTTGAGAAAAAATGAAATAATTACACAAACATAACATTATTTGAACGATACACTCAGCTTGAAAAGAAGGCATTTATAGTTTTTTATAAATGTGATCTGCTAATTTAGCATCATGTAGACACTGGTGTCGATCACCATGAATGCTCGTCTGTTAATCAGTTCAAGATCCTGTCAGAAATGTGACTGACTTCTTGGCTCTTCTTCTTTGGCCCATGACAAACAGTTCCACCAAAGTTCATGAGAATCAGGCCCAACAACTTTTTTTTTCCATAATCCAGCTGACCAACAAACAAACGCCCCCTTTAACTCCCGTGGTGGAGTTATAAAACATAAAATACAAACATTTTACAGCTTTTTTGAGTAAAAGCTCAAGTTTAATCATCTGGAAAATTGAAGATGACATTGCGCATTTTACTTCCTTCATCTGTGAGCGACAAACTCTTGTAGTGAATAAAAAAAGATTCCAGTTGGTGAGTATTTGTAACACATGAAGCAAGCATCAAGATAATAATGATGTTGTGAAGTTTTGCAGGGTCCGTCTGAGAATATCTGGTGTTTCTTGGACCGAGCTGTACTGTGATTGTTGTATAAACCTAATTTCATGTACAGTATTTTACCGCGGTTTAACAGCTGTCTCTAGATAAAGAAACTAACTCTTGTTGTTGTAATGTAACAGTATATGCAGAAACACCAGGAAGCAACAAACAACCAGTGAGCATCAGAACAAAGGTTTATGTCCTCTCCCTCCGTAAACCACCATCCTTATTCTGTGAACTTAACCAGTGATCTTGATCTGAAATGTACATAATTACACTGTGATAGTGTCCTGCTGCTCTGATGTGTCATTAAACTTCAGCCTAATGTCCTCAGAAATAAAACCGTTTCCAAAAAAAGATCTGTATTTTGTCTCGTGTATATTGTGAAACAGTCACACAGAGAGCTGGATAAATGTGTGAAACAACAAGCAGGACTTGTTAAAATGATCTTGATGGCTAAAAACTACTTTAGTGGCACAGTATGTAATTTTCTGCAACAAGGGACTTCAAACAAGAACAACGACAATTTAATGACTTGAAGGAGCCTGGGATCATGGAAGTTGTGTTTGTCATTTTTAACACATTTGCAGATTGGCTCATACAGTCATCATTTAGTCCCACTGCCTTACGTCCTGTCAAGTTAAAGATCTTCAACTGTAGTCCTACATTTTAAAGATGCTCCCTCCGTATTGAAAATGCAACACCAACCCTATTTTCTTCTTGTGCCATAATCTGCTCGGGTTTTTAGTGTGGAAATGTAAAGGTCAGTGATAGATCATGCACTGAGCGACACAATAATCAACAATACAAACAATAGCAAACCCTCTGGGATTTTTTTCCGATGTCTTCCTGGATGCTACAGCAACCAGAGAGGCTAAATTAGATGCAACACTGTTGACACAGACCAAGTTAAACATGTTTACCCTGAATAAAATGATGTGTTTTTCTAGGTTTGCACATTTTTTAAAAGATAAATGTAAGTACACAACAAAATGTATAACATTGGTCTCGTCATTTACAGAATTGTAGGCAGAAATATCACACATACCAAACATAGGTACTGTATTAAAATGAAGGTGGTAGTTGTAACTGCTCACTCTCATACTGCAGATTGAAAATAATCCATAAAATAAAGAGTCCTTTAAAGGCATGTGTATATTATTAACCATATTTTTTTGGATGTTGAAATGGGTTTGAACAGATAGGAGTATGGATCACCGCCTTATGAGTACGTATGGGTATGAAGGAGGCTGCAGCTCTTTGGCCTCTGGCCCTTTGAGAGATTACTGTGATTGGATTGGCATGGTCAGGCAGTTGGCACCCATTTCACTCTTGGCACAGGAAACTGCCAGAGGATGATGGGAAATAAAGACATCATTGAATGCAAATTGCCACAGAGAGGAAGACAGAGGCGATGAGAGGAGAAGAAGTTTTCTCATTTTTCATCCTGATGGTGGAACAATTTAGTCCCACCTATATCTTGTGTTTGTCGCTACAAATGTCAATGAAGAATGTCTTTAAATGCAATGGTTTGATAGCTTTTGTACACAGTTGATTAATTTATTTTTGTACATATGCAAAATGTGCCGCCATGATCCGGTAACGTTGAAGCAAAAGATGGCACAGGGTGAGAACACTGTGCATGTCCATGAACATAATAACAAAGAGACTGGCAGGAGGCAGCAGGCACAAGGAGAGTGGTGGATGAAGAAAAACCACGATGAGTCAGAGTTCATGACAGAGAAATGGAGCAGGGGATTTGCTGGATGTTGGTTCAACAAGCTGGTACCGCTGCTGTGCTGAATAATATCCTTCCTCTGTGCCAGCACTAATGAAATCAGAGCTCTGATTATTACAGCCCCATCCAAGGGTTATGATTGTACTACTTAAATCATATTTATGGCCCTGTGCTTGCCAGTGTATGCAGCCTTCCAGACACACATTATATCAGATGACAGAATGTGTACGGGTTGCAGTTTCACAATATTACAAACATGACTAGAGGCTTTTTTAGGTATTGAGAATGTGGCTCACCCAGGAAGCTCACCTGGCTGCCTCTAAGACACGAAACAAACTGGATTTTTATGATCATTTATAAGGGGCCGTTACAGAGCTGTAAAGTAAAGACTAGGAGGTGAGTGCACTGAAAACCAATATGGAGCTCTTAATATTTCTGATTTGCCAAAATAAAGTTATACATGAAGGATACATCCATCCCTGCTAACAACAAAAGCTTTTGTTTTATATTTACCCCTCGCTTCCAAGCGAAACCAGAGTATTTTAAGACATAGCTGACCCCTGTTTAGCCTGTGAACCATAGCCTGTATGAAACATGGACGTAGCCTTGGTGACATCACTCGTTCGTTTTTCAGAGTAGACATTTAAAGTCCATGGATGGGTGTCGCCATATTGGAAATGCTGTCTCAAAGTAACTTTCAGTCAACCTAATAACAGGCAAAGAGCTGGAGCTGAGGCGGGCCTGACACACACATTAATCAGGCTGTCAAAATCGTCATTTTAATATTTTGCAGTCAGGCTCATGTGGACACTCGAGGAACTGCAGGTTTTGGCTTCATTTCTGCCACACTGCTGCAAACTTGAAACTTCAATACGATGATGAGAACATCCATCTGTTCTTGCATTGGTTCTTATGTTCAAAATGTTTAGAACCAACTTCTTGTGATTCTAATCATATAGTCCAGACATTGTCCTTCAATTGCTATTATCTCTTAATAACAATAAAACAACCAGAGCCAAATTGCACAATACTTCATGTCTGCACCTTCACAATGAATGTTAACAGTCATATGATATTGGTTCCACACATCCGAAAAAGCCTCTTTGGATGGGGATGGTTTAGTTGTAAAACACCTTTTAAATGATGAGTAATCAATCCGGATTAAAGAAGACAAAGCACTTTTCCCTCTTAGCAGTAAGCAAGTTACCCAATCACAATAACCTGGACTGAATGACAATGTGTGTTATTGACACATTTATCGATATGTTACTCTAAATAGAGCTTTTATTCTTGAATGTGGAATCATTCATCCTTCTGGTATGTCAAAGATCCTTTCCACATTGATGTGGCACATGGTCTAAATGTGGGTTAATACCTCCAGCACTCCTCTAACCCAGAAAGCTGATCAACTTCACTGTGGTTGGTAGCTTCCTGATCCGCAGCCTATAAAGTCGACATAGAGCCGCTGATAAAGGATTCAGGGATTAAGTGTGTTTCCAAAGACTAATGTGAAACAAGTTTCTGTGTGCTGAATCACCTATAACTCACCTCAACAGGTTCATTCATCCAAACCCACCTCTTAGAGCTCAGTACTACTAATTGTTTCTGGTTAAGGAGAACAACTGATATGATTGTTGACCACTGAAGGCCATCTGAACAAGCTGTTATAAACTCTTGTATTGTCATTGTTTACGTAAGCAGAGCTACCTCTATCTACAGACCATATCAGCATATTTTGAGATCCATTCTTTTCAACTACTTTTAAACATTTTGCAACACCCATGCATATACTTTTTGACAAATGTAATACCGTAAGTTTTAGCATTCAGCGTGAAAGTATGCTAACTGTGCTAATCTCAACATTACAGTAATTTTAAAGTCATATTATGAAAATGCCCATTATGGATAACTTGCTACCAAAGTGGCTTTGAATGGAGTGCTGGTAGATGAGTGGTTAGTGTGCGTGCCGCATGTACAGAGGTCAAAGAAAAAGCCCAAAAATAAACCTTTAAAAAGTTATGTAGTTATTGAAGTTATGTTTCATTACAGATGTATTGGAGAAAGATTGCTGATCCCCCAAGTTGTTGAAATCCATCTTGAGGGTGTCATGAAAATGTTTTGCCAAATTCCAAGGCAATTCATTTCATAGTTGTTGAGGCTTTTCTTCTTTTAAACCACACATGTCAAGCTAATGGAGGGCACTGCGGAGGGAAAGTCCAGGATTACTTCAATAAGAGGGAACTTACAAAGACGGGGAAATCACAAATGACTCTGATTTGACTTGAAAGGTTTGCAGTCTCTGACAAGGTAATGGAGTTGTTTTCATCAATAACTACACACACTGAAACCGCGAACGTCTGTAAGTGAAAGCTTCTTGTTCAAACTGCTGAAACATTTGTGCTGACTAGACTGTCTTCAGGTCTGACTCCCTTCGTTCTCCCAGCTGTTCTCTCACGTTTACAGTTTTGACTTTGGCCTTCAGCATTAACTTCACACTGTGCTCAGGTTGAAGCAGGTTTCACACTGACCTGGATGGCAGCCAATCATTCACTCCCATGTCATTATTTCAATGTTTAATGGCTTCAGCTCAGAGATCTTATCGTGACTGACAGATGATTTGGATGGAGGGTGGCAGGTAAGCCGTTAAAGTTTCATCTTCTCTATGATTTATCTTATAAAGGTGTGTGTGTCGTCCATATACATACACATGTACACATAAAAATACTGTAAATAAACATCCAACATTTAAACCTTTTTTTCACTCCATGAAACCTTTAAACACTTGACTTTAAAATATATTTTTTAATTTAAATTTTTCTGATTTTTCAATTAAGTATGCATCTATATTTTTCCACACATTTCGCACATAACAGACTTATCTATACAGCTTCTTTTTTTTTTTTTTTACACATGGACAGTGTTAGCTGTATTTACAGGTTTCTGCTGATTTGATCATTTCTGGAATCAGTTCTGCTCCTGCACCTGCGACCAAAAACAACTGATGTGAGTTAAGGCTGACAGTTCCTTTTCTTCACATTTTTTCCAACAATGGCAATCTTCTACCTGAAGGGAGAAAATACAAAAATATACCAACACATCACAGGTCAAAGCAGGCTAAGCTGTTTTGTCTTTTCTTATTTTTCCCTCCCTGACTTCTTTAAGATCCAATGCACCTAGAGAATGCACTTTAAAAATCCAGAGCCTTATATGATGTGTCTGCATGATACTTAAAGGTTAAGTGTGAGAGAGAGGAAGGTGCAAAGGATGCTGAAGGGAAAGGATTAAAAAAATGGGGTTTTAAAGTATTGAAGCTCCAGAGTGTGCAGGGTTCATTAAGGGTGGATAAAATTCAGAAAGAAGCTCAGATAAGGAGGGGGGAAAAAAGACAGAGTCAGACTTTTTAAGAGTTCAAAAACTGGATTAAGCTAATGAAAATGGCTCAATCTTGTGGTTCATTAATATATGTGTCTGACCTGGCATGAATAGACTCGCATGACGTCTCAATCTTGCTATGTCTGAGTAGAACAGGATTGATTGATTGCGTAATGGTTTATCATTTCTGCAAACAAGACCTATTACCAAACTAACATCAATTAGATCTCCCTGACTCAGTGGCCTGGAATCCTCGCGAAATGTGGAGCCAAAAAGAAAGTCAAGACGATGCTTGTGCTCCTCCACAGACAGTGAACACATTGTTGCGTGGATTCATTTTTTGTCTGATATCAGTTGACACAAGTTTCTGGAGGCAATCTAACCTGACATTGAATATATCACACATTGTATTTTTGACCTAGGTGTTTTTCAGCTTAAATTTTAGATTGTATAAATCTTCTTCTTCTTTTTGTAACCAATATTCTCCACCCGATTCTTGCATCAACTGAACAGGAAGAAGCCATTCCTCTTCATCTTAGTGTCACATAAAGTATTTAAAGAAAGAAAGGGTTGATATTTGACGTATCACTCTCTCTATGACCTGGTAGAAAACGTCTTCCTCGTATAGCTGCAAAGTAACCGATCCCTTTTAACAGATAAATCCTAACGACACTCTACCTGTCAGGTAATGAATCATTGCTAGATTAACAAATGCCCTGACATTACACATAATAAACATGTGTGTGTCTAGACAGGATTATTTTAAAGCTCTCATTTCTCCTTTTGCATGAGGTGGCCCAAGAAGGTGTGAGTCCTAGTCACCTTTGAGGCTTAACCTGTTATTCTGAATATAGAGGGTCCCACCCAAACAAAAAGCATCTTAATGTTGGTGAAACTGCAGTTAACCTCATGATACACAGCTTTATGGTGAATTATTTGACATTACACTCAGATTGCAGATGGACATTGTGCAGAAAATGATCAAGATTAGTATTAAATCCTTTAAAACTATTTTCCATTCACTTCAAGACCTGTGTTTCAACACGTTCCAGCTGCTGACAGGACAAACACTTAAGAGCTTACACCTGAACTTCTTAGTCTTAAACGTGTGCAGTAATGACATTAATGAATCAAAAGTCAGAAAAATTGTACAGTCATGCGGATAGGACAGTGGATAGAGTCAGAAAATGGGGAGATGAAGAGTGAGGAATGACATGTGTAAAAGAAGCCAGAGGTCAGATTCAAGCCCGGGCCACCCATTGGAGGACTGGGCACACACAGTAACCACAAGGCTACCGACTGTTTTTTATAGTACTTAGAAAAGTTGAAAGACTTTCTTAAAGACCCTTTTTCATTGTGTGGTGTGTCGTTCTTGTAAGAGCTCTCGGTGGTCAATTCCTCTAAAGGACACCTCAAATCCATCGTAACCCCTTTAATTCACTCATGAATCAGTTGGACTCTTGACATTGCCATGGATAATGTTCTCACACCTTGTCCTACAACAGCAGGTCAAATTCTCCTCAAGATAATTCAAAAAGTGGTTTAAAACAGCAGCAGCACTCACCGCTTCCTGTTTTTCTCCTCAGCATGGGGGCGGAGTCAAAAGAGGGAGAAGGTATAACACCTGATTAAGAGCTCCGGGGTCAAACCATTGAGATAAGGGGGGTGGGGGGGAGGCAGCAGTAATGGTGTTTTATGTAAATATTAAAATTCTAGTTTTTCTTAATTCATGGGTATTCATTTGTTATGTTAGTATGTAAGTATTCAAATGTTGTTGTTTTGTGTGTGTGGGGTTGATTTTGTGTTTACTGTTTATTATTTCATATGGTATCTGTTCCACCTCAGTGGTCTTGTCCCCCTAATTACCTGCAGCAGTGAGGTTCTCTAGAGAAGCTAGCTGCTTTTGGTATGAGTTTCAGTGTCTCATGGTAAACAATTAGTGCTGCAATTGTGCTTCAAACAGCATTTCTCTTTCTGGGACAACTTGGAATTGGAATTAAAAAATGAATCTTACCTTAAAATAGACTCAGTGTGGTCTGGATTGCTCTCAAAATCTTCCCAAAGTTCATTAACAACGTTGAGATCAGAGCTATGGTGCAGGTCAGTTTGTTTCTTCCACACCAAATGGAGAAACTTCCTGTGTCCCAAACTGTTTTACTTTCTCTTTGTACCACAGTTTGTAAGTTGCTTAATGCAGTCAAACTAGAAAAATCAGGCATGTGGACGTTAACCTGCACGGAGGACCAAAGTGGGGCTAGCACTACCGTTAGCCACGCTCACCAAACCACTTTGAATCTTTCACCCGCAGAGTAATGTAGGTCACAAAGTGCCACACACTTCAGCTGCATTCAAATATCAAAACGTCTTTATCGAAGAATGTGATGAACTGTTTCAAACAGCAAATTAAATTTGCTTTATGCAGCATGGTTTTGGACAGTGTTGAGCCATTTTAAATAAATTGTGGTTTGTTTTGTTTGAGGGTTCTCTTACCTCTATAGTCAACTATTCTAGATTACAATTTTCCTCTAATCAACAGGGAAACTTGTCGCTGACACATAACTAATCATATGGACGCATGGGTGCTGAAGCAAAGCCTACTTCTTAGAGTCGCTTTGTGAATGGAAACATTGATTCATTTTTAAAAAACTGAAGAAAGCTGTTAAATGCTCACTAATTGCTTCAATATCAAAATACGCAGGAATTTAAACATCATTCCTAAACCCCTAAAACAACCCAGACATGGGCATCCACAGACTTTTAGCAATATGATGTGAGTTCTGGTTTGGAGTTGTGGGTGATGGGATTTGCCACAGACTGGTCATGTGTGTTTAATAAAGTGAGAGTGGTGTTTTAAAGTAATTGTTCCCGTTGTAACAAAGGACAGAGTCTGTAGTGCAGTACGCTGAGTTTCTAATCCTTTTATTAGCCTCTAATGTACTGCATGCTTTATTATTAATTAACAAGCATTAACCCTGAGCCTGACCTGTGCTGCATTAACAGTGTCACCTTCACACTCCTCTGCCACATCCAATTTTAAAAGTCATTTCAGCACATTTAAACATTTTGTGGCTTTAATTTCTCCGACAGTTAGGATTTTAATTTTCAGCTGCAGCTCCGAGGTGTCAGTCAAGTCAGTCAGGTTTCAGGGCTTCCTTCGACCTTTACGACCCCCGCCTTTTGGGCCCTCGCATTGCTGATGGGGAGGATGGAGGATGTAGAGGGAGATAGGAGAGCGTCTGACAGCTCATCGGTCACGTCCACCAACCCCTGCTGGCTGCCAAACTGAGCTGGAGGAGGGAGACTCTGAATCCATACCAGCCGCTGAACTCCCTGCAGGGCTACATGACGTGTCTCCAGCTCTGGGTGAGTCAGGATTGAGTTTTTAGGAGGACGGTCGCATCTGTCATTTTAACGACCCCTTTCCCATATTTACAGAGGAAGAGGTGCCCTTAAACTACAGCTACACAGTCTGACCATTATTCAAGTGTGTGTGGTGAAATATTTTGGATGAGATTATTCAGCTCTGCAGGCCAAATGAACACTGATGGTAGATGAATAGTTCACTCAGCAGCCCTTAAGCTATAAAACCCCTGCCTGATCTGAGGCTCACTGAATCACTAACATCTTTTTAAATCTCTTCTTCTTATGCATATTTTAACAAAGCTTACACTGTGATATATTTTCCTGTTCTGACTGACTTTATTTTATTTCACAATTCTACATTTTTTCTAACACACTTTAATTTGTTCAGCAGTGTGGGACTGAAAATATTTTCTCAACTTTGTTTTCAGGATAAAATCAGTATTATTATTATTATTACATCAAATTGACTGTTAGTATTTGAATTGGAGTGAATGAAAACACACTTCTACTCCACCTCATATTCATTCATTCATTTAAACCTTTATTCTCGAAAGGACCATAAGGTTTCCCTCATTCCTTGCATTTTATTCTCGTTAAACTCTTTCCCCATTTTGATTTATTATCATTTTAAGCCTTCACACTGAGGATTGTGTGCAGGAATAATGAAATCATAACAGTCTCCCTCAGTGTAGACTGTCAATTGGAATTAATGAGAATAAATATTTTATACATTTTTTGATGGGAAATCCCTGGAGTTTCATGCTTCTGTAATTTTTTTTCATGCAGTTCGAAGCCTGCAGGGGGCGCTTTTTAGCACCTGGTCCTTGCAGCGGGAGACGCACACATTTATATCCAAAACACACAAAGAGAGAGAGAGAGAGAGAGAGAGAGAGAGAGAGAGCGCACCAAGACTCCCTTTGCACACTCCCTCACACACACCCGTTTCATTGTCCCACAGTGCGGACAGGAGGATTAACGGACAGCTCTTCTCCTGTCTCAAACCTCATCAGATCAGAAATAACGGATTTTTTCCCCTCTGTAGCTGCCTTTAAACCGGCTCATTTGCATAATCATGAACCTTTAATGCGCGCTTGGATGTGCACCGGCTTTAACTGAGCGACACCTGCTCCCTCTCTCTCTCTCTCTCACACACACACACTCTTTTGTCTGACATCTCTGCAACCAGCAGCAACGCAGAAGAAGAAGAACCGGAGGAGGACGAGGAGGAGAAGGAGCGGGGTCGTACCTGACACCTACAGCCGCGCGTCACTGCTCTCTCTCCCGCAGAGACACCGAGGAACGCCCGCCTCTCTCGCCCGGTTGTTGTGCGAGTAAAACCCGGAGCTCAGTGCACTCTGAGTGGGGTGGAAACGGGAAACAGTGTTACGGACACGCTGAAAACTCCTAAACAGAAGCCTAATAGAAATCAGCAAACAAAACACTGAAAACAGGATTCTTTAAACGAACTTCAGTTGCTCGAAGAATAAAATCTGCAGGATTTTCTGACTGACTGTGAGAAACTAAAAAAAAAAAAAAGGAGTGCTCTCCAGAAGATGCGTCTGTCGGTGCTCCTGTGCGTGTTGGCGTGCCTGTGTGCTGCACCGGGCCCGGTGGTCGGTGGTGCGGACAGAAGCTGCACCGACCTGCGGCAGTTCTATACCGGGAAAGGGTTCACCCTGGCAGGGGAACCACTGACAGAGATCTCCGGTGAGTTTTGAACACAATTACAAGCAGAAAACACTTTATTTCATTCACTTTTATCCACTTTGTTCTGTATGATACGAATGAACCAAAAGGATGTTGTACTATTATCTTTTGCTTTTCATTGGAATCAATGCATTTTGTCTTCTGGTTTCTTATCTGCAATAGTAACAGGATCGAGAATGTGTCTATTGCTTCTATAACATTAAGACAATGCATATCCCATGCCAAGTAGCAACTGCATGGGTCGTGCATTGTGACTCCTTTTAAATGAGGATGATCATGCATGCCATAAAGAAATATGCACACAAAGCCTGTTAATTCAAGTTTTCAGTTGCATTTACATTTACATGTTTTTGCAACAAAAGTCAGACATATATTTTTTTTTTATAACTTTCTGGCTTCTCTGACTCTCTGGTTCACATTTCCCTCTTGCACCCATCCTACTGAAGTGTTCCCTGGTCTGTATAGATGGTCTCTCTTATGGTCGTTTCTGGGGCATGGTCATTGTCTTGCTGAGAGGCAGTATTGCAGGTGGGTGTATAAGCCATGTGCTTGTGGAGCTATTATGGTCTATTCAGGGCAGTTATGGTTGTTTTGCTGATGCTTGCACTGCAGGTGTTCACACTGGTGTTTAATTTATATAGAAATATAGATTTATTTTCTGCTGGAGCTCCTTGTTGAATTCAAGTGTTACACTAATGTGTTCAGGGGTGTATTTCATTGTCTGCTCTGGACTGCAGGTGTGGTGGTTTGTGTGTATGTGTAGCCTATATGTGTGTCTCAATAGATGCTGATACGGCCCGTTTTGTCATCTAAATTAAGTGATATTGTCGGTCAGCTCGGGGTAAAGTGCAATTTAGAAAGGCCTGACTATAAGCTGGTGTTCTAAAGTTTAAAATAAAACTAGTAGAAAGTGACACTTTTGCTGTTTCTTTTTTTGTTTCATCCTCCGGTTTCCTCTCTTGTCAGTCAGCAAACTAACCAACCATTCAAGCAATTATGCATTTAATCAATGAGTCAGTTACACAGCCCGTCAAGTAATCAGTCAGCTCAGCAGTCAGTCAGTCAGCCAACCAGGCATCACACATCAAAGTCTCTGTATCTCGTCTCCGCGACTGCAACTCCTCACCAATCCTGATTAAACTGTCTCGGCACTCGAGGAGAGCAAAGATTGAGAAATTGAGTTGTGTCCTCCTTTAAGGCGATCATCTGTCGCTCCCTGTCTCTGCCTGTAATTCACCCAGAGGTGCTGAGAAACGTGTGACCTCAGCTCACACAGGGAGCAGAGGGAAGATTGAGGTGTGTGCAACCTGAAGGTCATTTAATGTTGTGTCAGTGAAAATAATCTGGTGTGGGCGGGTAAAAGGTATTAATATTGGATGCGGCTGTGTATGTGTGTGTGTGTGTGTAGGTGTGTAGGTGTGGGTGTGCGAGGGAAATGGAGATCAACCAACTCAGGAGAGTGAGACAAAGAGGGATGGAGGCAGAAATAGACAAAAAAGAGAGACAGGACGAAATGAAGTGAGTCATTCAAGGTCTCTGTTGGTGCTTCATGGACGACTGAGGAGGAGCCCCGACATTCCATTAAAAACTCATCTTTTATTGACAGATGAAAAAAAAAAACACAACAATGCTTCACTCAACTGGACCTTGATCTGCTCCAGTTATTTGAGCAAGAGTTCTGCCTTCCCAGAAACCATGAAAGCTGACAACTGGATAGGAACAGAGAAGCAGCTTGCAGCACCATTCCCCAGAACACCTCTCCATCTATCTCATCTCAGAGAATCAAGTTTTTTTTTTTACATAACAGCTCAGAAGGAAACTGACTAACACGCTCTCATGTCAGTGATGATGACGACATAGCGACGACACACCGGTCTTGTTGGCACCTGGGAAAAGTCTCTGTTAGATGTCACTTTTGCAGCTGAGGGAGAAAATGAGTTGTTTAATGATCTAGCTGCCATACGTCTTTGTTTCAGTATTTTAATAACCACTGACTTTAGAAGCATGTTTAAGTATAGATAAGTCTGTAAATTTAGCTCCTTTCACTTTCAAAGGGGGACTCATTAAAATACACTCAGGTTTCCATCCTTGTGTTGCCTGGCAGAACTTTAAAAACCCTTCATAGTCGCTCACAAAACTCTTAAAGAAAAGAGAGAACCAGCCATCCATCCATTATCTATACCACTTTTCCAGTTCAGGTCGCGGGTGGCTGGAGCCGATCCCAGCTGTCAATGGGTGAGAGGCGGGATACACCCTGGACTGGTCACCGGTCAGTCAGAGAGCTGACATGTAGAGACAGAAAACCAGCAACACTCACATTCATTTAGAGTCACCAATGAACCCAACGAGCATGAATCTGGACTGTGGGAGGAAGCCGGAGTACCTGAAGGGAGCCCAGGCATACACAGGGAGAACATGCAACAACACCTCGCAGAGAAGCCCTGTCCAACTATGAACTAGAAACAGCCTCACTAGACAGAGGCTATCTGTTCTGCCTGTAACTTCAAACTTATGCTGATACATGCTGAATTTCCCGCTTCCATGATAGGGAATCAAACAGGGATGCTTCATTTGTGGCGCCTCGGCAGCAGCGGTTGTGTTTCATGTCTTATAACTTGTTTTTCTCTAGCAGTTTACCAGTGCCCTCAAAATTGAAGGGAGCCCAGGCATACACAGGGAGAACATGCAACAACACCTCGCAGAGAAGCCCTGTCCAACTACGAACTAGAAACAGCCTCACTAGACAGAGGCTATCTGTTCTGCCTGTAACTTCAAACTTATGCTGATACATGCTGAATTTCCCGCTTCCATGATAGGGAATCAAACAGGGATGCTTCATTTGTGGCGCCTCGGCAGCAGCGGTTGTGTTTCATGTCTTATAACTTGTTTTTCTCTTAGCAGTTTACCAGTGCCCTCAAAATGTTTCTCTCTCTCTCTCTCTCTCTCTCTCTCTCTCTCTCTCTCTCTCTCTCTCTGTGTTTTAATGTCTGTATCTGAGAGGACAGTGGATAAAGCAGGAAATACAAATGAAATCTGTCAGGTTTGGTCGATTTAACAATCAGAGATGTTTGAGTTGTGTGGCCCTGAAGGTTTGGGATAAGACTCAGCTGTTTACGCTGAGCATGATCTCGTACAGAGTTAGGGAAGGGTGACTTCGGTTCACTCACATGTCCCTCGATAATAGGATGATACTCCTGATTAAGAATGGCTACCAATGCCAAATGCAATTAAGAGCAATGCTCCTTTCATTCCTGTCGACTGAGAAAAACAAACATATGCTCATCCGTAAAAAGACTAAAGTCTAAAAGGTATTAATTGTCAACGTATGATGCTTTAATTATCCAGTTTTTATTCTCTACAACACACATATTTCTTGTAGTTATAAGCATTGAGGTTTGATTTGAAGGTCTTTCTCTTCATGTGTACTTCTAAGGTCAGTCGGACGACTACGGCACACTTTAGCAGACACACGTCGTACTCATTCAACAGCACCATGAATACACAAAAAACGATCAAAACAGAAGTGCATGGGAATGAAAATCAGGAAGGAATGTTGTCATTGAAAGGGCTGGCATGAATTTATATTTTTGCACATGGATTTTGGCAGCACAATGAATACCAACACATCAAGCATCAGTGGCATGCAATTAGCTATTGCATGAAGAAAAGTATTTCAAGCCAAGCAATCAAAATTCTCCATCTGCTCTCCTCCTCCTCCTCCTCCTCCTCTCCATCCAAGCTCAGCAGTTTCACTTTATTTTTTCAATGGAAAAGAGCTCAGAAATTTGAGCAGAGATTAAAGAAATGCATAATCTGAGTGTAACAGTATGCTATAATGCTAGGGAAATGTGCAGTGTCAGGTGTGTATGGGATCTAGAAGACAATCTGGATGTAAAGAGCCTGTTATTGCCAGGTCTAAACAGGGTGTGTGAGACATGTTTAAGTAAGTGGATATATAAAAATATCATAGTTCCAAACTAAACTGTGTGTAATCTGATAAACTGTTGCTCTTAATTCCTTCCCAGAGTTTAAAAAAAAAAACCCTCCTTTTCTTCTCACACTATTGTCCTTTAGATTTTACACCATGTGAATGGAAGTCGTCTTTCCTGCTGTCTGCCTGTCTGTCTTTGTGCCTGCGAGCGCTTTTAACTCTCACATTGTGTCCTTTACCTGGTCAATAGTTAAAGACTAGCTCGCCCTATAGTGTGTGTGTGAGGGTATGTGTGTGTGTGTGTGTGTGTGTGTGTGTGTGTGTGTGTTAAAAGTGAAAAAAAGAAAGCCAACACCTTCTCCAGGGAAGACACTTGTGTTTCATTCACACATGCATTGTCAGAACAGAGCAGCACACACCCATGTGATCATATGACAGAAACGGAGAGGGGCTATATGCCCTGCACGCTTCATGTTCTGTACGAGGAGACATTGAGTTTGATCCTGTGTGTGTGTGTGTGTGTGTGTGTGTTACGTATAATACATACTGAACATTTGTCACGTTGTTGCTTGTTTAAAGAACAGAGGGAGGGTGTGTTGTTGAATGACAGAGTTGAACATGATCCACCGTGTTTTAGGTCAGATTACCTGTAGATTAGGATACCTTACAGATCTGGTTACAAGTCAATACTCTTAAACAAGACTCAGTCAACCAGGGAGCCATGCATTTTACATTCACACAGTGTCAGTGGCCTCTCTTTAGATATGGTGGAGCAATTGATCACTATTACCCAGATATGGCACAATGGTGAAGAATGTGAACCTGTGTTTACGTACTGACGGTCAAATGAAAAAGACAGTATGGAAAACATGATGTCTCTTACAGTCCCGCTTCATGATGAGTAGGGCTGGGAATCTTCGGGTGTCACCCTGATTCAATTTCGATTGTTGGGTCACGATTTGATTCAGAATGGATGGATTCCATTCGTGACTTTGAATCACGAATCCATTCTGGATTCGTGATTCAAAGTCTGTTTTTGAATTAATACCTACTAATTCAGGATCTATTC